CATTTTTCTCAGAAAAGGCTTAATTAATTTTTTTTCTCAAATATAGAAATTCATGAGGCTATCAAGTATATGATACTTTAAAGTTCACCCTGGGCATATTTTATGAATTTTACTTATAAGCATTATGAGTAAGAAGAACATAGAGAATATATCAAAACATAATGTAAAACAGCATTATTTGTACCATACACCTGCTGTGTTTTTACAAGTCCACTATCCATTGTATACTTGTATATATAAGTTATTCTGAATTTTGTTTTGACAGATTTCTCAGAATGTCCTCTGCAGTGTAGTTGTTAAGAGAAGAAAAAAATCACCTCAATACAGGTTTTTATACCACATGTTCATAAAGTATAAAAGTAATGCATGCAATACTTGAAAGTAAATAATTGACATGATATGTTTACAAACAATGGCCAAAAATAAACAAGCTAACAATTAAATTTTTAGCACACATGAGCCGAAGGCTCAAGTGAGCGTTTCTGATCACATTTTGTCCGGCGTCCGTCTATCCAACCATCCATCCGTCTGTCTGTAAACTTTTCACATTTTCAACTCCTTCTCAAGAACCACTGGGCCAATTTTAACCAAACTTGCAATAAAGTCCTTGAGTGAAGGGAATTCAAGTTTGTTCAAATGAAGGGAGATGATTACAAATTATTAAGAAATCATGGCATCTTTTAAAAATCTTCTTCTCAAGAACCACTGGGCCAGGAAAGATGAAACTTATGTAGAAATATCCTCAGGTAGTGTAGATTCAAGTTTGTTCAAATCATGACCCCCTAGGGGTAAGGTGAGGCCACAATGGATGATCAAAGTTTTGTACAGGAATACAAAAGGAAAAATCTTTAAAAATCTTCTTCTCACAAGCAGCAAAGCCATGATAGGTCATTTTTATGTGGAAGCATCCCCAGGTAGTGTAGATTCAATTTTGTTCAAATCATGACCCGCGGTAGTAGGGTGGGGCCACAATGGACAAAATTTTTTTTACATAGGAGTATATTGAAAAAGTCATTAAAATTCTCCTCAAGAACAACAAAGCCTTGATTGGTCATTTTTATGTGGAAGCATCCACAGGAAGTGTAGGTTCAAGTTTGTTCAAATCATGATCTCTGGGGGTAGGGTGGGGCCACAATGGACGATGATATTTATATGGAATCATCCTCAGAAAGTGTAGATTCAAGTTTGTCCAAATCATGACCCCCGGGGGTAGGGTGAAGCCACAATGGATGGTCAAAGTTTTACATAGGAATATATAGAAAAAATCTTTAAAAATCTTTTTGTCAAGAACAGCAAAGCTATGATTGTTGATATTTACATTGAAGCATCCTTACCTAGTGCAGATTCAGATTTGTTCAAATCATGACCCCAGGGGTTAGGGTGAAGCCTCAATAGACGATCAAAGTTTAACAGGAATACATAAAAAAATCTTTAAAAATCTTCTCAAGAACAGCAAAGCCATGATTGAAATCATCCTCAGGTAGTGTAGATTCAGATTTGTTCAAATCTTGACCCCCCCCCCCCCCCAAGATGTAGAGCGGGGCCTCAATGAAAGTTCAAACTTATGGGAAAAAAATCTTCAAAAATTTCTGAAGCCATCATTAGTCAAAGAAATATGGAAATGTCCTCAGTTAGTGTAGATTCAAGTTTGTTCAAATCATGCCCCCCCCCCCCATCTTTAGGGGTAGGTTGGGACCACTTATGTATTTAAACTGTTCAGTACTGAACTGATTTCTGCTTTTTTCCTAGCCTCAGTGCTCAGGTGAGTGATGTGGCCCATGGGCCTCTTGTTAGATCACCTGAGTTACTTAGGTAACCTATTGCTATCTGTTTTTGTGTGTTATTTGTCATCGGTCATGTATATGGTTGCAAACATGTTCAGCTTCTTCTCTGGAATGGTAGAAACAATTTTGGTATGTAGCACTAGCATATATGGGCAAAGCAGAACAAATATCGTGAATTTAGTCCCCATCTCCTTGGGACCTGAGGGGTGAAACCAAAACCATAAAATTTCAGAAACGTTAATTTTTCCCAATTTTGAGACTAAAAATTCCCAATTCAGCTGCCGAGGAACAGACTGCAATGCCATTGTAATTCTTTTCATATGAAACATTGTATGAGTTAACTACGCAGCTATGTTAAGGCTTCCCGAGGCTTAAAATGCGCTCTAAACATAATATGTCATTGCGAGGTCGGTTTTGGTTTTAATTTATAAGTATTGAACTTTAGTATTTCCAATTTATATAAAGTTTTTCCTCGGCTATATATTAACATATTTGTTATGATATCACATGACTTTGTTGATCACGTGACGGTCATTTATAAATTTTTGAAGTGTTTCATATAAACCGCTTCGGCGCAGCTGATTAATACAATAATTATTAACATTTTGTTATATAAATAAACTCATCGTATCCTTGTCTATCAGAAATGTGCTTGGGAAAAGTCATAGTATTACTTGGGTACAAAATATTTCCTGAGAAATTCAACTTACCTACAAATTTGAGGGTATTTTCCACACAATATCGTAATCTTTATTAAAACAAAGCCAGCACACATTTTTCCCAAGCAAGATTCAGTTAGAGAACAACCTCTTGTTAAAGATTTCCACAAAAATTCTCAGATTAATCCTCATTAATCACCTGCGCCAGACTCTTTTATATACACAAAATAAATTCTACCTCCAACCACGGGTATAAAACAGAGTACATTTCAAAAGTATATATTTAATAAGCATTTTGAACACGCTGAATTTCAATCAAGGGTAGGTAAGCGGTATATTTTTAAAATATTCGGACATACAAGACTTAAAAAAAACATTTAACGACCCGTGAATTTTGCAGTAGTTATCTAGTATTTTACATGCAGTTTGAAATAAAGTGTAAAGTTTATGACACTCTCCCCGTCATAACACCTCAAGTTTGCAGTGACTTGACGTCATTTTCCATTATGACGTCATATTTTGGTAGTTCCGAGATGTGAAGGCACAGAGTGCACTGTGATATTCTTCGGGAAACCTTAACCTACCTGTGTATATGTTTAACTTCCTCTTATTAATAAATCGAAAGTAGAGATCAATGGTAATATGGCGGGACACGTGCTGTTGACAGCATAGTTATGGTAGTGTCTTACATTTTTGACAACTTGAAAGCATGACAACATGAAAACAAGGGACATTAATATGTAAAACAATTAATTCTTGTTGATTATTCTTTAAAGCGTGAATTAAAAGGTAATGAGGTTAGAATAAACTAGAAATAAATTTCATTAATTTATTGACATGACATAAAAAATTCCCTTTTGTTTTAATTCGACACTATTTTAGCCAATTGAATCGGTACCGGACCCATTCCCAAGGGGTAGAAAAAAATTTGCTGTCATAGCTCCAGGGTCAAAGGTTCAAGTGTGTGTGGGGGGGGGCTATTTATTATGTAGTAAATTTACAAATTCTTCAAAAATCTTCTGTTCTCTCTATATATTTAGCAGACTCAATGCATGTTTATGATGGGCAAGGGTGCCTCTTCCAAAATCATGAAATGCATGACCCCAGCTTCAGGGGGTTCTGATGTTAGGGCAGGGCTCAATGGATCATACACTAATAATGCATAAATTCTTCATTTGAAAACCTTTTTTCTGTTCATGGATATTATACAGGCAATTTAAATGAATGGTTATGATGAACCTGCCTTTACCTTAATTGTGAAATTGAAGGCCACTGGCTAAGTGGTTATGCTATTAGGGTAGACCCTGTTGATAATATAATTGAAATGCCTTAATTCTTTGCAAATATTCTTCTCTGCACCTAAGTATTTAGCAAACAAACTTGATGATGAACAAAGATTATGATGAACCATTAATGTATCTCTTCCTAAATTATGAAATTCATGGCCCTAGAGTCAGGGGTTCTGGTTTTAGGCTTGGGCTCTACTGATCATGTAGTGAAAAATGCATTAATTATTTTGAAAATCATCTTCACTTCTCTGTTCCTAGCTAGGTATTAAGCAGGCAAACCAAGTACATAGTTTTAATGAGCAAGGATGTTTTTATCAGATTTGTGAAATTGATAGCCACTGGGCAAAGAGTGTTGGTGCTAGGTAGGGATCAATTAATTATATAAGGAAAGATTTACTCTAGTTTGAGAGAAGTTATTTCCTTTGATCATTCACCTATGATAACTCAGGTGACTGTTAATGCCCTTGGGCCTCTTGTGAAATATGAAAAGGAATTATAATTAAATAAAATAAGGTCAATAAAATACATTTTTCTGTTTTGTTTTGAACATATTTCTGTAGAATGATAAGTAATTATTTTCTGGTTTTCTTTCCACAGAACACACAGAACCAATATAAATAGAAGCCATACATTTGTTCCCAGATACAAGAAATCAGTGTGGTATACATTTTTCTGTTACTTTATATAACTGTCACAACACACTGTTGATCATGAATACCTATCTATAGAGTGTGGTACATAATCAGAAAAATCTACATTTAATACTACACATTGTTGTAACTTTGTAAATTGATATCTGAAAGAAATTAAAGTTTTTGATAATTATAATGTATAATTTGTAAATTTGTATAAAAGTTAATTCATACAACTAGAAATATTGTACACCAAGTTACATTTCAAATATTTTCATATTATATGTACTGTATAAGAATTTTAAATGTCCAGTGTATTTCATTGTAGATATGTTTTAATCTTTAAATATTATATTTTAGATAGACTTTATTATGAATACCTGGTCCTTGCTATTTATACTGACATTGGAAGAATTCAGCACCCAGTGTAAAGGTATTTATGTTGTCTGTGTCTTAATTCTATTCAATTTTTTAAGTTCTGAAAACCAAAACTTTGATATGAATACATGTTATTCACTGAGTACATTGTAAATAGAAACATGCTCTTGATGTAGATAATTCTAGTACAATGTTGTAATTTACAGAGAGATCTCCCTGACTGAGGAAATCAACAGGGGATTCTGTTATAAAACCACAGGATAAAGATGAAATAAATGTCTGCTGTCAATGATGTATAGATTAGTGTTACAGAAATCTGTCACAGTGACAGGTGTTAGTCGTGTATGTCACATTACCCGTGTATCCTCAGACCGGGTCTGGATCAGTGATTATAGTGATAATCTCATCTTGACAAACACAGCAGGGGATAAACTACATCATCTGACAGATATACATAGTTATAATGGAGGACACACTGTGAACAATGACGGTGATTTAATTTATATAGACAGTGTATATAACATCAACAAACTGTCTATAGAGAACACAGTAAAGACTACATTAATAAAGTACAACACAGAACCATGGGAACCACTGAGTGTCTACAGCTCCCCCTCCACTGGAGACCTGCTGGTCGGGATGTATAATAATGATACAGATACAGGCAAGGTAGTGCGGTATAACTCCACAGGAGAACACATCCAGACCATACAGTACGACAACAACACAGGTCAGGGACTGTATAGTTATCCTACCTACATCACAGAGAACCGCAATGGAGATGTTATTGTGTCTGACTTTGGCCGTGATGCTGTAGTGGTGACAGAACGGGGAGGAAGTCATCGCTTCTCCTACAGAGGACCTCCATCAGGATCACGACTAGTACCACGTGGAATCTGTACTAACGCGCTGTCACACATCCTGGTGTGTGATGGTTACACCCACTCAGTACAGATGTTAGACAGTGACGGTAACTTCCTGTCACAGATACTGACATCACCACACGGGATAGACACACCACACAGCCTGAGTTATGATGTTACCACACACCTACTGTGGGTAGGGTCAGAGTACAACAACACAGTCAACATATACAGAGTGTTAGACAGAGACTCTCTGACTGGTAAGTAACACTGTAGTTTGTTTAATTGTATTGTATAATTATAATATCAGTACTAATTAATAACTACATTATATTAGAGAGGTCATTTAAGAATAACTTTACGTGAATGTAATCAAGTGTTTATTTACAAATGTTAAAGTTTGATCACAAATGATTCCTCAATGTGTAAACAACAAACAGGAGCTGTTAAAGATGAAGTTAATAGATAGATTAATAAGAGTTAATAGATTAACATCCAGTCTGTAATTAACCATGATTAACTGTACGGTGTTGTCTGTAATTAACTGTACGGTGGTGTGTGTAATTAACTGTACAGTGTTGTGTGTGACTTCATTCACTGATTCTTATTTCAAACTTTTCTGTAAATTTTTCTCAGAAACTTCTTATATAAAGTACATACATAGATCTACACATTTTGTGTGACAGACAGGTTTTGATTTATAGATCCATTTATGATATACTGTCATTGGGGGAATTATCAACTTGTGAAATTTTGTGCTGTTTTGTTTGAGAAATAAAATTGGTGTTGTATGATAAATTTTATGAGAATTAGTGAATGGTTTAAATTTTAAAATCTTTTCTAATTATTACAATATCCTAACCTTTATAATGTATTCAGTTTAAGTAATTCTACATTCAGAACAGATGACATTTTGTACTGATGTTGACAGTTAGATATAGACACCATTGACATTAACACAGCTCTGTCTAGGAATGTTGTGTATTTCTGTAGCAGGTGTTCAGTAAATCTACACTGTGTACTAAATTGACATTTTTGTGCAGGAGAAAGTTCTAGAAATAATGAAATTTAAGATTGATGCCAACTTAGGATAAAAAAAAATATTTACTTTTTAGTAGAGACAGAAAATCAAATTAGCCCAAATGCTACTGCATTGATTAATTTTTGTGACTTGCTAATAAAAGGGGGATAACCCAAATCTCTTTTTGAAGATTTGTAGAAAACTAGGTTGTTCCCCTTTGCATAATGAACATATAAAATACTCCTGAAATAAAAGTAAAACCCTGCTTTCTGCATTTTCAAAAATGTTGGTCCATGAAACTAAAATATGACCTTATCATTACTGCCTGTATCAAGTATTTATAAATGACATAGTTAAGGAGAGGAAACTTGTACATTTATCATTAGATCCATTCTATCCATTTGCCATCCAAATTACATGAATATGAAAGATTGGAAGCCCTTTGCTGATACTGCACTGGAAGTTTGTCATTTATGCACTGTTATAAGTTTTGAAGGTCACTGTCAGAAATATGTAGGGTTGATTTCTGTGGTTTACACACATTAAATAAGTTTTTAGGCTTGATATGGGGGGGGGGGTGTTAATGTATTATATGTCTATCCTATTTCCAGTTATGTCAATATATTTTAAAATTAGGCGAAACAAAAAAATATGTTTGTTTACTGTTACATGCTGAAAAAAAAATAGGGTCGGTAGGTAGGAATTTTTTTTTATTTTATTGAATTTTTTTTATTTACAAATTCACATGAATTGGTTGAAATACAAAACAGTTTTACTACTGTGTGATGCTTTACTTTTGTTTGGGCTTGCCATAGGGGCGATAGACAATATCTTTCTTGTCAACTGCCTTACAGCTACCACACAGTGGTAAAACTGTTTTGTATTTCTTCTTTAATTCCCTGTTGCACTTAATCAATTTAGCGTTTTCCCCAAGCAAAATTTAATGCATGGGGGGAATTTTGCTGAATTGACGGCATGCAGCATGTCTCGGTTGAGTTACTTGTACATGTGTCTGAATCTATATATAAGTGAAAATTACAAATGCATTACCAGTATTCATTTACATTTTTTTTTTTTAAATTTAAATGATAAATACATTTTAAATAAATTGTCAATTTAACTTAAAAAAAATAAACAATTGATTTCTTTTTTATAAAAATAGATCTAATCATCTTTTTTGGGGGCGTGGGGGTATTTTGATTGACCTCTAATTTCCCACTGTCTTTTTATGTGCTGTTTTATTCTTGTTGTCTACAAACTGAATAGGCCCTATAGTGACCCCCTTTTTTAAATTTACTTCATTTTTGGCTGTCCCTACTTTTACAGTCATCTTTAAACAAAAAAGGGTGCACACTTTGTAGCACCAATGACAACATGTTTGTTTTTCAACGTAAGCTGTTGAATGTAGGTCATTGTGTATTAAAGCACGTGCACTTGACCGAAGTAGTAGCCCATAGTTCATAGAGTAAATAAACAATGATAATGTTTATAGGACATGTTTATTTTAAGCATATATTTATGCTAAATATGGTTTAAGAATTATGTGTTTAACTAATGAATCCTTTTTGATGTCGGAACATAAATACTATTTATCAGTCAGGGGTGAGACTGAAATCTGTCATTTTTGAAAAATGATGGATAATCGTCATATTTACTTACTACGTATTTTCGTCATTTTTGTCAATATGACTTACTATCGTCATATTTTCTTTTTCAACTTAACTCTTCTATCCTGGTTACATAAAAGCAAAATTTGAATTCGCCGCTGAAAGAAGAATGTTTACGCAAGTTTCATTTCATCCGGGTCACTAATTACTGCCGACCACGTGCGTTAGAACATCAACATGGAAGGTGAAAGTTATTATTTAGCGGTAAAATGTCGAAGTTTGGTAGAATTAATTTGCCATTTTTACATGGCTTTTAGTCCTATAAAAACATATAGTACACCGTCTGGAAGAATACGTACTTGTAGAGAGAAATCTCGACAAAAAGTTAAAGCCATAAAAAAGTAGTGCGCCCCGTAAAACAAGCGAGATATTTCAGTGCGCCCGGACCCTCCATTTTGAAAAAAGACGGAATGTCGTCATTTTCGTCTTCTTTCCTATTTAATGCAAATAAATTGACAAATAACTCTTCCATTCTTATTTTTGCTTGGGAAATTTGTACTGTCAACATAACCAGTATTGTAGTCAACTGTACTAGAGAAATCAAGTTTGTTTACGATGTTTTTTGTCCTTTTTTCGGTTGGTGGATCTAACATTTTTCAAAGAGAGGTAACTTGGTATTCTAGAAACACTCTAAATTTTTATGACTGTTTTTCGTCATTTTCTTAAAAATGACGAGTTTAAGTCATAATAAAAACTTTATTTTATGACTGAAAATCGTCATTTTAAATATGACGGATTTCAGTCTCACCCCTGACTGTTTATAGAATGACCTGGAAATGTTGGAAAAACCCACATGTGCAATAACAAGTGTATTTCTTTCACGGTGTATACTATCTTACAGCAATTAATTAATTTTTCATGGTTATAAATATTTTAATCAAATAAAAACTTAATGTTTAATAAAATACCAGTAAATTGCAATAAACATAAATTGACAGCTTTGCATCATACCCCGGCCGTACTGAGATTTGCATCGAGTTCACCACAGGTATGCAACATGTTTATAGGATTCTAGTGATCTGAATTGTTTTATTAATAGATTAATAACTGATAACATTCAAAGTAAATCATCTTCTTAAAAAAAATGTATACCATTAATAATTCATGCATAGCAGGAAGCATAGCGGCAATGTTTGATGCATGGCGGGAGATCTTGAATGCATGGCGGTATTGCAATGTAAAAACGGCCTGGGGAAAAAATTATGATAATTTATTCGAAAGTACAAGAAATAGTCTATTTCTAGTACTTTCGATTTCAAACCGTTGACCGATTAAGATGCATGTAAAAGTTTAACTGACCGATGAGTGACTTCTGGATTTTTACGACAAAAAAAAAATTTGGGTGGGCGACTAAATATAGGGTCGGTCGGGTAACCGTAAACAAACATTTTTTTGTTACGCCTTAAAGTGATATTAGAAATCATAACTGTGTATTCATACTAACGCTGCTGATGACCAATTTATGAGAAAATTGTTGGATTGCTTTTATTTTTTTAATTTACACCCTTGGTGGGTCCCACCCTCAAGAATGTGTATGTGTCACTGTTTGTTTTTTTTATTGGGGGAGAGAGAGAGGCGGGGGAGGGGGGGGTTGCAAGAGTGTCTTATTCTGTAATTTTTTAATGGCGTAATATAAGAAAATCATTCTTGACACTAAGGCTGCCTATGGTATGAGGGCATGTCATAACTCAAAACAAAGGTCATGTGAGTATGGTTAAGGTCATCAGTACTTAGCTAAAGTACATGTAAATGCATTGTACCTTGACTCTAAATGTTTTATGGAGGAAAACAATGTAACATTGATTGCTCGTATATGTGATAATTAAAAAGCTTATCATCTGATCTGAGGTGTGTTGTGACCCAAAGTTATGCTGGCAAGTTAAACATGTTAAAGAACATTATTTTGTGAGTATACTCACAGAGCCTTTTAAGATACCACAAACTTTAAAGTAGAAATATTTGTAAAGGATGCATTTAATATATCATTGATAACAGTTATCAAGACATTTAATCCCTAATGATATTTATTCACCCCAAGGAGAGGGGGATAGACTTTTTACCCTTGTGTCTGTCTGTCCATCTGTAACAAATTTCCTTTGCAGTTTTCTCAGTAACTTCACAAGGCAGATGCTGAAAATTTTAGCATACTCTATCTTTAGGCATATGGTGAGAATCATTTTTGTACAAATCTGATGTCAGCTTCCTGTTTATGCATGCATTTGTTCGTAGCTACCAAATTTTCGTTGAGTTTACTTAGCAATATTCATGGAAGATGCTTGAAATTTTAGCACACTCCTTGTTTTTGTAGGCTATCTGGTAGGATTCATTTTTCTAAGAATACAATGTCAAATTTCCATTACAGTTGTGTACATATTCACATGATAACGTATATATACACATCAGAGCAGGGTGTTACTAATGAGCATTGGCACATTGATTTTTGTCTTATTTCATGTGTATTTGTTATAATATTTCTAAAATGGCAATATTGGAAACAAGAAATCCTCTTACATAGTCATTTTAGATCACAATTCAACAATTTTATCCCCAATTTTTTTCCCTTTGTATACCATGGTATATTATCATAATAAATAAAGTCTTTCTATAAATGTGAATACATGTATCTAGATTTGTTTCTAAAAATTGTCTGGACTCGAGAAACATTTTTGCTACTCCAATATCATTAATATTGGGACTCCAGCGAAGTAGTACTAAAAAAGCCTTTGCTTTGTGATGATTAATCAAGATTTATTAATTATTTACAATATAAAACTTTATTCTTCTAACAGGACTCCCTCTGGAGGACATCAAATGTAAAAAGCATCCCAAAAGTTCCATTGACCAGTTCTGTACCCCGTGTGGTGTTCCCTTGTGTGTGGAGTGTACCAGCTCTGAGGATCACAGCAGACATGACCTTATGAATATAGATACATTGTTTGACAACATTCACAGGATAGAGGGTAGGTTTTGAAAATTCTTCAGAATTTGATATCCATAGCAAATGGAATATTTTTTAAATATTTGACTGTTTTATTTATCGTATAAAAAGTTATATAACAATAACCTTTAGTGACCTGTGCCAAAGGTCAAAATGATAATTTTCTGGTCAAAGTTTGTAGGTCATCCATTTACCTGTCTGCCTTGTTGTCTGTAGGTTTGTCTTTAACCAAAGAATATAAAGATCACTTTATACGTTTCTCTGTCTAGCTGTCCATTTGTATGTCTGTGCAATCATGCCCAGGCCATAACTTCATAATGGGGAAACACTTGAAGCTTATATTGAATAAAATGATTTGGTATCTTGACCTTAACCCAAAGTCATTTTAGCAAATTCAATGTCATTTGCAGAAAATGTCTACCAGGAATTCCCTAACCTGTATTTATTGCCTCAAATTCATTTGAACAAATTGAAGGTCACTAGCAGAAAAATGTATAATTTGGGTACCTTACATGACTTTCTAATAGATAAACATTGGATGTTTATGCTTCACACAAACTTACTTAGGATTTGAGGGCATCAACTTCCAATGTTTATCCATTTTCCATTGTTTACATGACTGTGTGCATTTTAGATGCTTATGTTCACGAAATGTCAAATCTTTTTACTCCGAAATTTGTTTTACTAGATTTTTAATCAAAAGGAATGCACATTATACATTTGTAGTACTTACTTAATATGATTAACCAATTCACTTGCACAATAGTTGAGAAATTTGTACAATTTATAATATATGTTTATTTGAATGTTAAACACTTGAAACTGTCATGCCCCAATCCTGTAGTACTTTCAGTACTCTGATTACTTTAAGACTTTGCTTTCTTTATGGATTAAATTTGTTGAGATGATCCTTGTCATCTTTGATTATCTATTTCTTTTTAATTTTGTAGATGGATATATATTTCTGATGTGCCTTCTTCTTTCCAAATCCTACAAAATAAACATGAAAGAAGGAAACTGGATGACCAAATATTATGCTGTTGCCAACAATTTTCATTCCAAGGAAGTCACAAAGCCATTCGCTCTTACAGATTTAGAAAAATACAAACCAATTCTAAAATTCAATAATTCGGAGATCAGTTTTTCCATTGAACTCTTCAAAGATATCAGTTTCCTGAAATTTTCAAAGAATTCAAAATTTCTTGACATTTTCTTGACTTCGGCAGAAAAAGAAAACATTGCTGAGTACTGTAGATCGTGGAATTATCCAAGAAGAGAGGATGAAGTTTGCTGTTGGTTATTGCCAGAGAAAACAGAGGAGTTGTTAGAAAGACTTGGGGAAGATATTTTCACGCACCCAACAATGGAGGACCAGTCATTCCATGAAGCCGTATTTAGAAAATGTAGGTCTACTTTCAGTACACCTAACATAATTCTTTAAAAAGAATTACTGGCAGACGTTTGAATGATCAACTGTATTTATTATCAAAATTTTGTTAATTAACATCAAGAAAAAGAATTCTAATATATTTCTTTTTAAGATGAAACATATACATAATCATAATTTGACTAATTTGTTTAAGTATAATAATACTAGAGTTTTTGTCTCTTAGTCGGTGTACCAATTCAGGTAATAATGAGGGGAGACAAATCTGTGAAACTTTTCATTGAAAATCTAAAGAAAGGGAAGACCATGATGTACCACGCCTCTGGGATGATAATCGGATGTGCAGGTAGTGGGAAAACAACATTACTAGAAAGACTTAAAGGCATCAATCTGAAAGAAATAAAGAAAAACACCAATTCAACCAGAGGAGTTGACATCCACACGGATGTCTTTGAAGTAACAGATAGCATCCATGGTATGCTTTATTCATTGTCTTCATTGATCGTGATAAGTTGCTATTTATATAATAGTGTTGTGATTTGCATGCACTAAGTAGTTAGGGTTTGACATTTGGTGCACGAGCCGGAGACAAGTTCAATATGTGTCAAACCCTGACTACTTTTTATGCATAGTGCATGCAAAACAAAACAGTATTGTTATTTTTTTGCTGACTGTTCTATAAAAAATGACTTTTTTTTTAAGTTTACCTGAGCCCAAGGTTCAAGTGAGCATTTCTGATCACATTTTGTCCGTCATCTGTCTGTCTAGCTGTCGAAGTTTAACATAGGATTATATAGGAAATGTCTTTAAAAATCTTCTTCTCGAGAAAACAGCAAAGCCATGATTATAGTCATATTATAATAGAAGTATCCTCAGGTAGTGTAGTATAGCCACTAACCAAAAGGTTAGGGGTCAAACAATATGTAAATTTAGGATATTACTTTATTTCCCTTAAGTTACAGTATCTGTTGATGTCAAAGTTAAATAATTGATACAGTACTAAGGTCAACCAGATGGCTGGGCTATATCACATTGTTATTAATCCCTTTGAAGTATAATTAGTTAATCTCTCAAGTCAATTAAGGTGCCTAATTATCTATTCTTAAGGCATGACATGTGTGACAACAATTATCACTCTACCTGTGCGTGTCACCTACTCATTCAAATAATTACTAGATTTACTATATAACAAAATATATTGAATAAAGAATAGTATTTGGGACAGAGGACAGTTAGTCAGAGTGAGTGATAGAGAGAGTTAGCTTGAGTTAGGCATGCAGCTAGCAGACCCAGTCTTAGATGTGTATATATAACGTACATATTCCTGTAATAAAGACTGGAAAAGACATTTCTACTTATATCTTAATTCTTGAAGGTTTTACGTCAAGGACAGTAACCAAGTAACCAAGTCTTATGGTTACTGCGTGACCAAGTGTTGTAGGGTGCACTACTTATTCCGGGTGGATCCCTATCCTCCCATAGTGAAATTCATTGCCCCAGGAATGAGCTCTGGTGAAAGGGGGTGGGTCTATTGATTATATAGTGAAAAAGCATAATTTCTTTGAAATTATGAGTGATGAAAATATATTCTGCTCCTGATTTTAAAAGCAAAGAAACAAAGTGAATATTTATGAAAAGCAGTGCTTCTTCAAAATTGTGAGATTCATGGACCCTTACTTATGTAGCAATATACCTTTATCACCTGCATTTTGGGTTTATGTCTTTCAGTTGATTGGATACACAAGAGCATGCTCTACATATGAACAATTTCTAAAACAAAGCAAGCTATTGACAAACAAGTTGATGAAACAAGGATATAAACAGCCTCGTTTGAAGTCATCATTTCGCAAGTTTTATGGTCGATACAATCACCTCGTCAGCAAACACAACCTATCATAAAGTCAAATGCTGACTGATGTTTTTCATACTAATTGTTGTCGCCCGTGTGGCGGAGTGGAAGAGCGTCTGCTCTAGTGTCCCAGAGTAAAGAGTTGATTCTTAACCCACAGGTTCGAATTCCACAGTGGGATGTTGAGACCGGTCCTTCGGATGAGACCGTATAAACTGAGGTTCCAGTCGCATTAGGTGCTGGCACGAAAAATATCCCTCACTGCTTATTGGCCCTGAGTGCTGAGCATAGTTCAAAATTTGCAGCTCTCCACTGGCAAGTGGTGGTGTCTCCATATGATTGAAAGATTCTCGAGAGGGATGTTAAACAACAAGCAAACAAAAATTTATACTGATTGTTAGACCATTATTTAGACACTGAATTGTGTACGGATTTTCCCATTTTAGCTCACCTGAGCTGAAAGCTCAAGTGAGCTTTTCTGATCATCTGTTGTCCGCTGTCCGTCCACCTATCCCCCTAGCTGTCCATCCGTCCGTCTGTATACTTTTCACATTTTCAACTTCTCAGGAATTACTGGGCCAATTCTTAAGAGCCACTGGGCCAGAAAAGCTGAAACTTATGAGGAAGCACTCTGGGGTATTGCAAATTTAAAATTGTTGAAATCATGACCCCAAGGGGTAGGGTTGGGTCACGTTAGGGAATCAAAATTTTTACATTGAAATATATAGGACAAAATCTTTAAAAATTCTTCTTCTCAAGAACCACTGGGCCAGAAAAGCTGAAACTTATGTGAAAGCTTTCTGGGGTAGTATGGATTCTCAATTGTTTAAAACATGGCCCCCGGAGTAGGAATGGGCCACATTAGGGAATAAGAGTTTTAAATTGAATATATTGGAAAATATATCTTTTAAAATATTCTTCTCAAGAACCACTGGGCAAGAAAAGCTGAAACTTATGTGAAAGGATCCTGTGGTAGTGTAGATTCTAAATTGTTCAAATAGTGCCCCCCACGGGGGTAGAGTGGGCCAACAGTAGGGAGTCAAACTTTAACATTGAAATGTAAAGGAAAAAACTCTTTTGAAAAATCTTCTCAAGACTGTTACATTAGCTCAGTCGGTAGAGCGCTCGCTCTGTGTTCGGTAGGTCATGAGTTTGAATCTTGGCCGCGACTGACATAAATCTATAAAAAAAAAATAGGTAGCAACTGTTCCTTCCCCTTGTGCTCAGCACTTTGAAGTGAAAGTTGCGGGTCCTAAGGATGAGACCTTAAAATCTGAGGCCCCGTGTCACGGCAGGTGTTAGCATGATAAAGATCCCTTACTGCTTAATGGCCCTGAGTGCCAAGTAGAGCTCAAAATATGTAGCCCTTCACGGGTATATGTTGACATCTCTATATGAGTGAAAAACTCTCAAATGGGACGTAATACAATCAAACAATCAATAAATCTTCTTAAGAACCTCTTGGCCAGAAAAGCTTAAACTTATGCGGAAGCTTTCTGAGGTAGTGCAAATTCTAAATTGTTCAAATCATGACCCCTGATGAAGGATGGGGCCAAAATAGAGAATTCATGTTTTACATTGAAATTTAAGGGGAAAAAAACTTTAAAAATCTTCTTTTTAAGAACCACTGGGCCAGAAAACTGAAACTAATGTGGAAGTTTTCTGATGTAGTGTAGATTCTTAATTGTTCAAATCATGACCCCCGGGAGTAGGGTGGGGCCACAATAAGTATTACAAGGGGGAAAATCTGGTGAAGAACAGCAGGGCAAAAGTTACTCAGTTGAGCGTTGTGGCCCATGGGCCTCTTGTTTTCTGATCATGACAATGAGCACATGGTGGATATGACCGGTCGGCAGGGGATTCTCACTACTCCATGGCACTTTATCCCACCTCTCTTTTCCAGGGGTCTGTGTTTGCTCTGCCCCTGATTTGTATTTTATTTAATGAACGTTTGAGTTTGAATACTGTTTGTTATCTCCATTTTTATCTCTACTGGTCAAAGACCAGAAGAGCTTATGCGATAGTTAGGTGTCCGTCGTCCGTCTGTTTAGCTGTCCGTCCGTCTGTAATAAATTTTTCAAAATGCTACTCCTCCTACAGTTTTGGTCTGATTTCAATATTACTTGAAACACAAGTCGACTACACCAAGGTACATAATTTTGTTTATCGGTTTTTGATGTTGATGAACGGTATTGCCATGGTTACTAAAAATGGAAATTTCTTTGAAATATTTTGAAAATGCTACTACTACTATTTTGGTCTGATTTCAATATTACTTGGCACACAAGTAGACTACATTAAGATGCATATTAATTCTGTACATCGATTTTTGATTGTAATGAACGGGTTGGCATGGTTACTAAAAACAGAAATTTCTGTGAAATATTTTTAAAATGCAACTCCACTTACAGTTTTGGTCAGATTGCAATAAATCTTGCCAAGAAAAAAACTAAACCAATGATATTTTTTTTAATTTATTGCTGTTGCAAAGTTTCAAGTTCAAATGCCATTTTTCTCTTCCTTTGTTATAAGATTAAAGCATTGAGTTACAGTCTCATCAGAGACTTCTGGTTTTCTTTAAAGACCAAGAGAGGCCAATGTGAAAGGTTATTGTTAGCTCACCTGAACTGAAATTTGTCTGTTGTCTGTCGTCATCGTTGTTGTTGTTGTCGTTGTAAACTTTTCACAATTTCATCTTCTTCTCCAGAACTACTGGGTCAATTTCAACCAAACTTGGCACAGAATATCCTTTGGTAAAGGGGATTCAAGTTTGTTCAATTGAAGGGCCATGTCCTCTTCAAAGGGGAGATAATTACAAATAAGTAAAAAATTAATGGCCTCTCTTAAAAATCTTCTCAAGAACCACTGGACCAGGAAAGATGAGACTCATGTGGAATCATCCTCATGTAGTGTAAATTCAAGTTTGTTCAAATCATGACCCCCGGGGGTAGGGTGGAGCCACAATGGATGATCAGTTTTACATTGGGACATATAGGAAAAATTTTTAAGGACAGATGATACATTGCTCAATAATATATAATTTTTGTTAGGATTTTGTCATTGAAATATTGCTACTTTAACATGCTTAATCGCAAACAATTGAGGTAACATAACAGGCATATGTGCAAGATACCAGAGGATGTTGTTCCCTATAAAATCCTTTGGAAATAAACTTCATTTGCCAATATCACATTTCTTAGTGTTTCAATTTTTAAAAGACAATTATAGAAACTGGTTTAGAAATCAGAATGTAATTAAAATTTTAAATATTTTTCATACATTACGAAGATATACAAAACAGATATTTGAGAAACGTATCGTCTGACCTTAATAGCAATTCTCTGTAACCAGTTAAACTTTTTTGTCATGGTCACCGATTTTGATGAAACTTTGCCCATTATTACAACTTGACAGCAGAAACATATATCAAATAAAATTTCGTTGCTATGTGTCTTGGTTGCCATTGTAACAGCCAGAAAAGTTGGAAAAATTGAGATTGTCAGCTACTTTGAATCTTTATTAAGCCTTAATAAACATGATAAAGACTAAGAACAACAAATGAACCATTCTCACAAAATCATGACACCTTGTTGCCACTTATTCTATGAAGAAATATTTAGAATATA